AGCAGGTCTCTAACGGGACGCCAGCATAATCCACCTCTTTTCTCTTCCACCAGTGAGGCTTAGAGTGGTAGGTGAGGACCTGGCCTAGCTGGAACTCGTCTATCCTTTCAAGGTATGATATAAAGGCGGTTGGGAGATGGTGCTTCACAGCACGCTCGAAAACAGCTTGAGTGCTCATTCTTTGCTTCAAAAAAAAAAAAACAGAATTGTCCAATTAACAGAAAAGTAGGCTGACCTCAGTTTTATTAATCTAATTAACCTTGCAGTAATTAGTCTGCACAACCAAAAGTAATCATGCCTGAATCAGCAATATTGCCCGAAATGAACGAATCAAGTCTGATATCAGTACTGGTACAGTCCTGACAAGTATCATTGCTGATCATGCCTGATGCTCTGGCCTGAACCAGTGCAAGACCTTGTCATGATTGTGTCACAACTGATTTCATGACTGTATCGTGACTGATTGCCCAAAATACATGATCCAGTACTGATTTCACGACTGATTCAGGCTAGCATCAATCCTGATTCAGACTCCAAACTTTTGGTTGTGTATTCATGTTATTATTCATTGATTGCCAGGGCTAAATAAAACTAAGTTATATTTTTATAAATAAAATTGGCAGTTTTACACTTTAAAAAGTTGTAAATTTGTTTTCGCACCCATGTTAACACCTTCAGGTGTAAACAATGACAAATGCTAACTTACTATTACACAAAAATTTTATTTTAAATTTTGAATAATAATTTTCTTCTTTTATTGCTCATTTGAAATATGGCATTATGACATCAATCACACCTTATGCTAGTTTGTAATATGACATAATTTTGGTGCTATTGTACTCAATCTTGCAATAATATAATAGAAGAACAAAAATTTGGGGATTTTCAGCAAGTATGATTATATAAGGTTGGGGAATGGGGAGTTACATCAATAAATGTACTACATTTGCATTTATTGAACACAACTAAATAACAATAATTACAGCTCTAGGCTATACCTAGTCTATGTATTTGTTTAAAAGACCATTCAGTATTTAGTACAGAGTCATCAGAGGTCATATGTGCCAGTAGCATCAGGTGAAGCTTGACATTCAGCATACACTACTTCATTCTTGTGAATTTGATATGGTTCACATACTTGCATTGCGATATCTTTATCAGCTCTATAGTTATATGTGTGCATGCATATTAGTAACTTATGCTATTGTACTGACTTTGGATCTTTAATAGTAGCACCTGTGGCAAAATGAACTTTAATTCTAAAAAATACCAATCCTTATTATTATGATACTACATGTGTACCTTATAAAGCAGCAGATATTAAAAATAACACTGACAGTTAGTAGAATCAACAATACACCTACTGACACACCAAGAGCAATAACACTATCACTGTGGAATGATGAAACTGATGAAGAAGAAGATACTGTCACTTCTATTAAAAAGGAATTGATATAAATATTTTAGTTACTTACAAACCAACCACAATATCTTTGCATTATCAAAAGTGTCACTGTATAATCAATAGAAGGAAGATCTATATATGAGTACACACTGATGGTATAGGTACTCATTGGTGAGAGATCTGTTAGTACAATTTCATCTTCACTGGTAGATGCTACATTCCTGGTTATACCTCCAGTAGTATACTCAATCACATATCCATTAGTCTCTGATGAAGTGGTCCAGTTCACTTTGATACTAGTAGCATTTAATATAAACCCTCTCACATTATTTGGAGGACCACTAGGAGCTATAGAATGAGACAAAAATTTAAACCAGTAAATGAATACCATACCATGTAATAACACAGATTGACTGTAGTTGACTCCTCCAATCATTGCTATACAGGTAACATTAACTGACACTCCCAGTGGATCAGGATATACCAGTAGTGTGTTGTTGTATGTCAGGACATCAATCAATGTATACATTGAGTTACTCTTCATCACTCCATTCACTAACCAGTAAACATCAGTTGAAGGATTATCTATATCAATAATTGTGAGGCAATCAATACGATATTGAGTGTTATTGAGTTGTGTAATGGATGAGACTAGTGTCCAATTGATTGAACCAATAACTAAAGATATATCAACAATGTTATGTATGAAACAGGAGAAATAGATTTACTTGGTAAATCTAAGGTCTGTACACTGATTGCATTACTAGCAGGTCCCAGTAATTGTTGATAGGCTCTGACTGTGATGCTATAAGTTGTTCCTCCTCTCAGTCCATTCAGTGTGATTGTATTATTACTACTTCCCTCCACCTGTACTGTCTGCACAGTGTCTGTGTCACTAGTGACATTGACTACATATCCATCAGCATCAGATGAATCAAATGCAGTCCAACTGATAGTGATAGTGGTAGCTGTCTTGTTGACCACAGTGAAAGAAGAGGGAGCAGTTGTTGGCACTAATATTATTGGTAACAAGAATTAATTGTTAGCATTCATTGATATAATGGCATTACCTTTTACAGTTACATAACATGTCCTATCTGCATTAGCATCAGGATGATCTGCTATCCTACACTGATACATTTGATTTCCACTGGTTGATTGACTGATTGATCCACTACTGACAGTCTTTCCATTCCATATGACATTAACAGTATATCTTATTGTGAAGCTACTACTAGCCAACACAGTACCAAAACAAGGGTAATTACTAGCTCGGTCATCACAATTATTATAACTAGCCAGTTCAGTACTACCAATGCTCATACTAATATTATATAGATAATATCCAATTTTAATACAGTTCAATATGAATTCCTGAGGATATACTGTCATATCAGATGGAAGATCAGCAACAGTAAATGATCCTAATTGAGTAAATCCTACAAATAAAATTATGCCATAAAAATTGCAATATATATGTAATTTTTTTACTAAATATATTAGTAAAAATGATGTCAGTAGCTTTAGAACAATCAGTGGGTAGACAACACTTGTACCAGCCTTCTTGATTTGCTGATAGTCCCTGAGCAAGATAAAGATTGAGAGTAGCAAAATAAGGTGAAGTGACATTGGTACAACGAAAAGGATCGCTGGCACTATTACTGTTACAGTCAACAGGATCATCAGGATCAGCAACTCTAACCCACTGACCAGTAGTTAGACTAGTAGCAGGTAACACACATGATATAGCTTTAGTAACTGAATTGACAGTTCTATCCCAAAAATATGATCCATTAGGATAACAGCTTCCATCATGCATCAGGTAGATACCTATAAAAATATAAAGTAACATGCTAAATATACATAGATGCCTATCTTTATCATTTCCAGTAAATATAAGAAAATACCTTCTTTTTGACAATGAGTAATGACAATGATTGCATTACTAGCAGGCCCCAGTAATTGTTGATAGGCTCTGACCGTGATGCTATAAGTTGTTAGCACACTCAGTCCATTCAGTGTGATTGTATTATTATTACTTCCCTCCACCTGTACTGTCTGCACAGTGTCTGTGTCATTAGTGACATTGACTACATATCCATCAGCATCAGATGAATCAAGTGGAGTCCAACTGACAGTGATAGTGGTAGCTGATTTGTTAACTTCAGTAAGAGAAGAGGGAGCAGTTTTTGGGACTAATAATAGAGTCAGGTATTAAATGATAAAAATTATAATTTTGTTACCTTTTATAGTTACACTACGTATTCTAGTAGGTTGATTAGTAACTTTTACTTCACACTGATATAATTGATCTCTGTAAGCATTAAAATGTCTGATTGATTCACTACTGACAGTCACTCGATTCCATGTGACATTAACAGTATATCTTACTGTATTGCTCCTACTAACTAACACAGTACCAGGACAATTACCACTTCCAGCACCACAATCAATGTAATTAGCTAGTGCAGTATTACCAATGCTCATACTAACATTGTAATGATTGAATCCAATTTTAACACAATTTAATTTAAATTTCTGAGGATAAACTGTCATATCAGAAGGGAGATCAGCCACATTAAATGATTCTATTTGGGCAAATCCTACAAGTAAAAATTATTATTACATCTGTAAGTGAATATAAATATAATTATTTTTACTAAATATATTGGCAAAGATGATGTTAGTGTTCGGATCTGAACAATCAGTTGGTAGACAACACTTGTACCAGCCATCGTGAAATTGATGAAGATTATTAATCACGTGAAAACTGAGGATAGTGTGGGATTCAACAGTGCAAGTAAAACTTGAATTACTGCCAGGACAAGGAACTGTTACATTAGGACCAATCCATTGTCCACCATTTAAAGCAGAATTAGGCAATACACACTCTAGAGGAGTGTATATGATGCCATCATCATGAAAATATGATCCATTAGGATAACAGTTTCCCTCATGCCTCAGGTAAATACCTATTAAAACCTATACAGTTGTTATTATACACATCCAGTGTCTTACCTGAGGAAGGTGGACATTGACTAATAACTTCACTGGCACTCAACAAGAAGACAATGGACACTAACAACATGTTGAAAGAGTATGGCAACAGTGCCTTACCTGTGTGAGCATAAAGTTTGTTTAGTCATCCTAATAAAGATTAGATCTACATATGTTATGATTATGGTTATTGTATGATGATGGTCAATAACAAGAACCTCACATCAATAACAAAACAATTTAGTTTAATACAAGATATAAAATAATAGCAACAACAAATGAAAAATTTTGGCTAGTGAACTACACAGTATTGAAGTATGTAATAATATTCACCATTCAATCCTGTGTACACATGAAGCCCTATTTGTCATGCACTGGCAATATAAGCATTGGAATATGTTTGTTCTTTGATGCCCTCTGTTGGCTTTGCATGATCATAATGTCATGCACTGTAGCTGTAGTTTAGTTTTACTACCATATTTGGCATTATTGCAGTGATTGGATTTGTGGTGTACGTATACTAGATCTTGTTCAATAAGAACAATAATATTGGCTTCGGCTATACAGCAGCGGAGGAGTAATGGCAGCACAAGCTTAAAAGTCAGACTAAAATTCTTCATGATGATTTATTTATCTGAAATTTAGTAAATGTGATCATTAACGAAAAGAAACCAGTCTTGTAAACTTACTCAATCAATGGTATGACATAAACGCAAGTAAAAGCCAATACATAAAAACATGAACTATAATCATTGGATATGATTACATGGTGAATGAAACAGTCTTCCAAATGCATACTGTGGAATCTTCTAAATAAATGTAATGTCTCATACAGTCATACAATAAAAGTATCACCAAAAGCGCACAAAAATAATGATAATAATCCACTTTCAGCTACTAGTTAAGAGTTGTAGTGCTTTAATTGTAATAGGACACTGAATTAATGCCAAAGGATCTGAAGGTTGGAAGCAGAGAAAGAGCGAGAGTCAACCAATGAGCTAAGAATGTACTCATGTTGGTGGTTCATTAAGTTTCTGAGGAGATGATTAAGAATAATACATTACCTTTTGACTGTATATTAATGATTATAATATGAATTACATAATATTGCTTGTGTGTGTGTGAGATAAGTATAATGAAGTTGTTAGACTTCAAAATAATAATAGTAAATCAATGCATATTTACTTTATAGAAGTTATGCAAATTGATAGTGCTACCCTACTACCACAACACCTGGACATTTTTGGCTAACAAGTTACTAGACTAGAGTACGTTCTTTGAATGTTTCCCATTACATACAGCATCATGTCTGACGTCATTAGTCAGGCTCTTCTGAATATTATAAAAGGAGTGAGGAGTAAACAGTAAACAATCATTACAAAGAGGATAATAATGCTCTCTCTTCTTATACTAGCTATTGCTTGTCTCCCTCAGTTTATCAGTAGTTCTAATCTTGCTCTTACATTTGATGCTGCTAACAATACCTGTACTGCAGCCTGTACTACCTGCAGTGATACCAGTAATACTGATACCAATCAATACAACACTGATGATGAGCTATTGAATGAACTACTCAACACTACCAGGAACAATGGTCAAGATATTCAAGAAATGAAACAGAAAATGGATGGTATTGTTTCTTCTCTCTCTCATATCAAGGAGACTACTACCTCTAATGCTGGAGCTATCAATGATATACTACTACTAGTGGAAGACCTTATCATGTACACAATACTCATCTTCCTTCTCTC